AGAGGCTCAGGGGTGGCCTCATGGCTCGCCCCAACTACCTGACAGGGGTGGTAGAGAGGTGGGGTATGGTCTCTCCTGCCATGGCTACAGGGAGAGGAATATAGGGAACGGTTTGGTCATAAACGGAGACAGGGGAGAATCAGAGTAGATGATAGGAAAAATGTTTTTCCTATTGGGGTGTGACCACTGGAATAATGCCCAGGGAAGTGGTGGAGTCACCATCCCTGAAGATGTTTAAGAGGCATCTGAATGTGGTGCTGGGTGATATGATTTAGGGTTATGGGGTTACAGAGGTAGTGCTGATGGATGGTTGGACTTAAAGGTCTTTTCTAACCTTGATGGTTCTATGATTATGATTCCTGATATTCCCTTTGCCTTTCTAACCACTGTTGAGGTTTAAAAAAGCCATTTTTTAGAGGGCTGTGCACAGTGAATCTAATCTATTTTTCCAGACATATTTTAAAGCATCAATATGCGTATGTAAAATTAGAGTTGTTTTTCCCTGCGTAAGTAATTTGCTTGCATCAGCATTTAATCTCATCTCCCATTTTATTGTCCAGTCATTCAGCAACATGAAGCCTTCTGTTCATTGTCAGAGTTCAATTTGCATGATGGCTAATTTCATGTCACTGGCAAACATTACAACAAAGATTTATTCCCTTTGTTTTTAATTGGACTTTTGTCCCTAGTACAAATATGTGTTTGAGCTAATCCTACAAGAAAAAATAAGTGGAATATAATGTATGCAAATGAGCAAATAGATGTTATAATGAGGTGGAAAAGGTTAGGGATTTTTTTTTATTATCATTATTTTCTACCGAAGCTTGTCACGTCTTTTTATTGTCTATTTTCCCTGTTGAAACTTATTGCTTTGAAATCATGATTTAAAGGCTGTTTTTTTATCAGGTGTTTATCCAAGAGTCCTAGATGTCATCCAAGTACTTGCAGAATATATGTCTGAGACACAGTAATGTAAGGCACTCTTTAAATAACATATGAATGTCAATAATATAATGATGTTTCTGAAATTGTGAAGCTGATTCAGAAGAATTTCCCTTTATTGGGGCTTTTCCCCTTTGTTTTTGCAAAGGAAAGAGGTACAGAGGGTGAAGAAACAAGCTGAAAATGAAACCTCTCTCTGTATTTTGGAATATTGCCAGTATGTAATGCAGAAATTAGTAAGTGAAAGTATCATAGAATTATAGAATCATAGAATTTAGGGATTGGAATGGACCTTACAGATCATCTAGCCCCAACCCCCTGCCCTGGGCAGGGACACCTCCTCACT